CCGGAACAGCTATGTCTGCAGTGTCGGTGTCTTCAGTGAGAGCCAAAACAAACCAACTTTTCAGCGTGAAACAACTCAACTCGTGTAACCTGAGGAAACGGTAAGTTTTCTCTAATATCTTTTTAGCTGTGGTTAGCTGGATGTCAGTCTTATGTTACAGCAGCTGTGTCGAGCTCGAGTTGCGAGTTTTTTCGGAGCTACGTTGTAGTGAGACAAGTTTGTGGGTGTTTTGTGCAGCTTCAGCTGTCTTTTTAACTGCTCGCTGGTTAGCTAGCGTGAGCTATAAGCTAACAGCTAGCCTGGTTAATGACGCTAGAGTTCCACGCACATGCAAACAGCTCGTCTCTACTGCTTTAACTGTTAAAACAGAAGGCAATACTGCGGGTGACAGGGTTTATAATGTGAAACAGCAGCTTGTTTAGTTTAAACAGTCTGCATTAAGCTGGGCAAACACTGCGATTTTTTTCAGTCACGTTATTCAGCTCCTGCTCAAACTGTACAATTGAATCGCAGGGGTTAGAAGTTCATAGGTCACGATGCAAGGTCTCACACTATATGGCCTGATGCTCAGATGCGACCTGAGTGCTCAAACTGTGCGTTCATAACATGAAGCTTATCAAGCTCTTATGCTCTCCCTCTCTGTCTTTCACGCACACAGACACACACACACACCATCAACTTTGCTAAATTACTAATGAAAAACATTGACCAGGCAGCTGTGATTGACCAACTATTTTCATGGTTGTTGTAGTCGTGATAATTTTGTGAGGCTTCATTGAAAAGCCTCGGATACGGAAGCGTAGAGCTGCCACCCAGGCAAAAGAAAAATAGAGCCATATCACGTTATAACATGAAAAGTATATTTTTCTAACAATATACCTTTCACATTTGAACAATATAATATCACGTTATTACAATATACATAATTATCATGTTCGTACAATATAAATATCATATTGCACAAACGTGAATGGTATATTGCACGGATATGAAAAGTATATTGTTAGAACAAACTTTTCACGTTATAACGTGATATAGCTTTATTTTTCTTTTGCCTGGGTGGCAGCTTTACGCTTACGTACTCGGATGAGCTTGCCTCATCCTTCATGTTGCGCCTCCATCTCTTGTGTCCAGATCACACGCTGCACTGCCGTGCTGCTCCACCTTTTCTCTTTGATTTCTGTGTTTGTGCGTGCGCAGCGTGAGAGGCTGTGTTGAGGGGCGACAGGATTTCAAACAGGTTTGATTATCTTGTGACCATACGATTGATGATTGGGAGCTGGTCGTGAGGTGTTAACTGCTTTTCGTTACCCCATGTATACTACACGATGCACACACAATTAAGGCAAAACACGGGCCAATCCCCAAAACGGTTGCGCAACTGAAAAATCAGCTCACAATGGGCCAAAAATCGCACAGTGTATGGCCAGCTTTTGGAGGCTAGCTCCAAACAAACATCTGCAGTGTATGCAGCACCATAATGACCAGACCTAATTCTTTTGAAAACCTTAAATCTTTCCACAGGTCTCCACTTCATCAGACATCACCTAGACACAGAGCTGGATGAGGCCAGCACAAACAGCGGCCTATTCGACGAAGATGATGGATCCATGGGGTCAGGAAAGCCAGAAGCAGGGGAGCTGGAGAGGTACCTTTCATGTCCATTCACTGGAGGTGTGGATCTATTGCATGGCGTTCCTCACATCAAGAAGCTGTCGATCAAAGTCAATACAGCTCTTCATGCATCTGGAGCTTGTGAAGGACTTCTTAGTCATGCAGGACTTCTGTTCACTGCTAAACAGTTACAGCTTCACAGAAAGAACCTTGAGAGCAAACTGCTGCTGAAGCTTAACCATCACCTCACTGAGTGAAGAAATAGCACAATTTTGCTAAATATGCAAAAATAGATGCACACCCATACAACTTATGGTAAACTGAGCTGCCTTGTATGAACATATGTTGAAGATGCCTCGTTTTAATGTTTTCTCTGAGGCTGCTGTGGCATTTGGAGCAAAAATGAATATAAAGTTTACAGCATATCTTGTCACTGGAAACTGTTTGCACTGTTTATATATTATTTACTGTAGGTATTGGTGAAAAAAGCTTTATGTTGTGGACAACTGAAATCTGGAAATTAGAATTGTGCCTTATTTTGTTGATGTTTGTACATATATTCCTTTTGAAAATAGTAAAATTTGTATATTTATTTATTTTTGTTTGTCTGATAACATTTATTTAAAAAATAAATCAGACATTTCAAACAGTTACTCGCTACTTGAGTAGTCTTTTCGCCAAGTAGTTTTTTACTCTTACTTGAGTAACTTTTTTGACGACTACTTTTCACTTTTACTTGAATTAAACATTAAAGTAATGTTACTCTTACTTGAGTACAATTTTTGGATACTCGACCCACCTCTGTTTGTTTGTTTGTTTTTTGCTCTCTTTCTCTTTTTAAGTGCCCTTTCTCACTGTCCCTCTTCCCCTCTGTTTTTCTTTTCCTTCATCTTTCTTTCTCCCTTTTCCTATCCCCTAGCCGATAATTTCTTATTTCATAGTCTAATCTTCACATGCTTTATCCAGAGAACACTCCCTGTTGATTCACCCACAAATTACGTTCACAGTGTCTATTATTGTAGGGTCTACCTTACAATATAAAGCGCCTTGAGGTGACTGTTGTTGTGATTTGGCGCCATATAAATAACATTGAATTGAATTGAATTATTTACTCACTGTGTCTTTATGAATTTGCTAGCTTAGCTAGTAATTGGTGATTCTGTTCTCAGACATGTGAAGCTAGAGACACCAGCAACCATAGCCAATTCTCTTCCAGGGGCAGAGCAGGCAACATTGAGGGGAATTTAAAACTGCTGGCTAAGGGTAAACGTAAATTCAGTAAAATCATAATTCACGTCGGCAGTAATGACACCCGGTTACGCCAATCGGAGGTCACTAAAATCAATATTGAATCATGTGCAACTTTCCCAAAACAATGTCGGACTCTGTAGTTTTCTCTGGTCCCCTCCCCAATCAGACCAGGAGTGATATGTTTAGTGTATGAGATGAGTCTGTTTGCAGTTTTCCAAGAGTAGTTAAATTTATTTAATTAAATGGGCAATTCCAGGCCTCGAGGGCCGGTGTCCTGCAGGTTTTAGATCTCACCTTGGGTCAACACACCTGAATCACATGATTAGTTTGTTACCAGGCCTCTGGAGAACTTCAGTACATGTTGAGGAGCTAATTTAGCCATTTAAATCAGCTGTGTTGGTTCAAGGACACATCTAAAACCTGCAGGGACACCGGCCCTCGGGGCCTGGAATTGGCCACCCCTGACTTAACTGGAAGTAAACAATATTTCTGAGCCGTGACTACTACCACCTTTACAAAGCATTTCCTATGAATGTGATCTCAAAAGGTATTGTCATCAGTTTGAGGATCCAACACACAATATGTGCATATAGTGCGATACCCTTTTTTCACCTTCTACGTTCTACTGTGTTAGGGTTTTATGTATAGTGACAATTTTTTTAATAAGCAGAAAGGGACTTCTGAGTATCTTTGCATTTTGATCAACAATGTCATTTTTCTTTTTGCGTTATCTCCAGCCATTTTTATTACTAAAACCAAGTGAGTCACTGGGGTAGAGGGCATTTCCAAAGTGAAAGAGTGAATGAGGAAAAAAACAGTCATGCAATCAAGCAGGGATGCCAAGAATCTGCACCTGTCAGTAACTGATTGAATGAGTTGGAATGCCACACACTCAGAAGACCTAAAAAATACTGTGACCACTGTCATTCGCATGTACATTCTCAAAAGACAGTAGAAAGAGGAAGAAAGGTGACCACGTATAAAGGAAAAGAGAAGTGGTATGAAAGAAAAGGGCAGTCAGCACTGAGTGTTGCCACGGCCATAAAACATCACCTTTGCAAAGCCTTGTTCCTAAAAATGTGATGTCAAAAAGTATTTGGGACCTCAGAGTGAAACAAAAAGTAAAACAGTTTTTCATGAAGTGAAAGACAACACATTTTCTTATGTTGCCATGCACAACATGTGTATATGGTGCAATAACCTTTTTTCTACTTTTTACATTCTACTGGATTAGTAATTTATTTTTGTAGTGTTATGGAAATTTTAACAATAACCTGCAACACTCCCAGTGAGCTTGATTTGAAGTGGGTTTAATCAACACATTGCAGTGTGGAGAGAGCATCCCAATGAAACACCAGGACCATCTCTGAATTGTGGCCACCGCCTTTACATCTTATATACAGACACACAGACAAAGAACATTCCACAAACTCTCACATGTTGGCCCCTCTCACGGGGGGCTATACCTTCTCCCTCACGGAGAGAATTATGACCTTGTTTTCTGCTTGGTCATCACCTAAGGATTTACATCCCTGATAAGCTGAAGGAGTCTCACTATCTGTTTAACGTCTCCCATTACAACGGCCTCACTGTGTTAACTTTCCACATGCATGTAAACTAGTGACAGGAGTGCTCTTACTATAGTTAAGTGAGAAAGTGATATTACTATAACTAATGTGATATAATTAAATATGTGATTAATATATGAGAAAATAAATCTGCCACCACAGTAGTCAAAACAGTAATCAAGCAAAAAGAGCACAGTTAAGCATCATAAAAATGAAGACCACGAGGATTCAACTGGTGGCCAGGGGATGGGTCGCCGAAAGCACTGTGTGATCAAGCGCAAGCGCGGCAAGCATGGCGGGGTCCATGCTAGGCTAAGAGCTAGTCCAAGCCGGCCGGCCCTTCCATCCATCTTGCCCTCAACCATCTGCTCACTGGACAATAAACTGGACTACATCCAACTCCAGGAGACCACACAGCAGGAATTTAGAGACTGCTGCGTCTTTGTCAGAAACATGGCTCAGCAACCGAGTCCCGGATGCCGCCATTCAGCTACACTGGCTCACCACATTTCTTGCCGACAGAACGCAGCTCTGTGCAGAAAGACTCGCAGTGGTGGCTTGTGTGTCTACATCAGCTCGGAATGGTGCAAGAACTCTGTGCTAGTTTCAATTTACTGCTCATCGCTGTTAGAGTTTATGACTGTTTGATGCAGACCTTTTTATCTACCTCAAGAATTCACCTCTGTGCACATTACAGCAGTGTACAGGTACATCCCACCCAGCACTAATACTAAGGAGGCCTCTGACAGGAGCTCTGAAACACAGGAAAGGGCCGTCACTGACTGAGAGGCAAAAGAGTGGATCTACAAGTGAATATTGTCTGAGGGGTATTTTGCTTACTTGCAGACATAGTGTGAGATACTTCAGGAGGGTAGCCTTGGGAGTCTCTGGACAGGAAGTGAGAACTCGAAGGAGTCCAGGTGGTGCATGGCAGGATGGATGGCAGGCAGGTAGGTGAGGTGAGTAGCTGATCCATTCTGAGAGAGGTTAAATACGAGTGTTGCAGGGGAGACCAATGCCTGAGAGGGAATGTAGTAGAGGGATGACAGGAAGACAGAAGCTGCAGAGGAGTGTGTACAACTGCAAACCTGCTTCCTGGTCTCAGCTCTGGATAGTCTCATTTCAAGGGGCTTAATAAATTTGGCCAGATTTCTAGAAATGAGTACTGCTCCATCCAGAAGTGGGATGGTTGCCGTCTTTCCTAATGAGATCAGATTTTTCCCAGAAAATTTCCCAGTTATCTAGAATTTTGTAATGTTATCAAATCCAGGTTGCGACTGAGGCATTTTCACATGCAGAGTGCAGAGGTAGACATTTTGGTTCAGGGTGCCTCTCACTCTATACAAGTCACTGACCCTGGATCCAGCAAAACAGCCCCAGACTATCACACTTCCTCCTCCATTTTTGACATAAAGATGCCGTATAAAGATCCTGCATGATGAACTGAAGATTTCTCATTTTGATTCATTATTCCTTATCAGAGATGGGCAGTAACGCGTTACTTGTAACGCGTTACTTGTAACGCGTTACTTGTAACGCGTTACTGTAATCCGATTACTTTTTTCAAGTAACGAGTAAAGTAAGGGATTACTATTGCAAAAACGGTAATTAGATTACCGTTACTTTCCCGTAG